AGTTGTTAGACCGTCCTTAAGGAGAACGATGACTAGAGAATTATCTTAGGAGAAAGCATACTTTTCTCCCAAAGTGTTAATATTTTAATTAAAAGAGGAATTTCTGAGTTGTTAATTAAAGGGAAAATAAAACTTGGCCTTGCAGAAGGCCTTGTTCTTGGCTCTTCATAACTCGTTTATTTATGGTGAATTTGCCTGGTTCCTGATGTTCTTTGTTTAGTAGGAGATAAGTTATTTGTTCCTTAACTTTATCTCTACACCCCTCCCCCTTTTCTTTCTGTGTGTTTTAATTCTTTCTGGTTATCCCTTTTTCTTTTCCAGTCTATGAAACATGCAAACTGGGAACTCATTTACCCCAGAGTTTTGGGAGCCAAATGGAGGTTGACTCTGGGAGAAGGCCTTTGTCTGGGTTTGTCCTACTTGATTGTCCTCAAGCAATGAAGATAGAAAGTAGAAATGCATCTCTTGTGGGCTCACTAAGCGATTATTTTCTTTCTATTTCGAATGGTTGGGACTTGACAAGCTACCTTAAGTCTCTCTCAAAGGCTCTCAAAGCTTTGAAACTTGGTCACTGCTTGTCCACAAATGCAAAAGAAGGAAGTAGTGGTCCTTCTACGGTGAGTACAATTAGGCCTTCAATTATTGTTGTATTCAGACCTGTTTCTTTTCCTTTTCTTTCATGATTTAGCAAATTTCTTTTTGTTCCTATAATTTGGATAAATTGATATTTAGGCTTCAGAAGTATATGCTAAAGTGCAAAGCTTACTTAAGTTATCTATTTGAGACTCTTTTGAGTTCGCTGCAAAGTCATTTTCCCTTATTTTTATAGTTAGTTGGAAAATGTATTTCCGCTAATTGCTCAATATAATCATGAAGCATGTGTAACTGCTTTTGATTGACATCACATGTTTTGTTGGTTCTATGCATCCAGGTGATTTATGTAGTGTGCCCCTTCCCTGAGCCTATTGCAATTTTACAGACTGTCATTGAATCTTCTGTTGCTATTGGATCAGTCATTTTCCAATCAGACAGAGAAAGGAGATCTATATTGTACAGTCAGGTTTCGAAGGCATTAAGCTACTCGGCAACAGTGGACGAGGCATCAATATCAAATATTTTAATACTCTCTGGGTTTAGTATTCCTAAATTGGTACTGCAGATTGTGACAGTGGATGCCATTTTTAAAGTTACAAGCCCATCACTGAATGAACTTGTAATTCTCAAGGAGACTGCTTTTACTGTTTACAACAAGGCTCGCCGAATATCACGAGGAGCCTCTAGTGATGCAGTCCAATCATCACTGTCTAGTAGATCCCATACAGTCCTCTCGCAAATGTCTTCTCCTACTCCGGGGACGTGGAAGGACTGTGGTGGCCCTCGAATTACTGGGCATTCCCTTCCAAGAGAGGGTGAGATTGATGCTAGTTTGAGGACTGGTAGCTGGGATAGTTCATGGCAAACAACAAGAACTGGAGCAGCAAACTGCGATCCCAACAGAATTGGAGATATTTTTTCTCAGGATGAGACTCGCTACATGTTTGAACCACTTTTTATTCTTGCGGAACCTGGTTCTCTGGAGCGTGCGTTTTCACCTTTAGCTTTTGGTAATTTACCATCAGAACCTTCAAAGGCGTTGTCCGATGACATCAGTGGAGGCTTTATGCAGAGTACAAGTTTAGGTGGAAGTGCAGATTCTGGATCAGGCTCTCAAGCTGATGGATCAGAGCTAGATAAGATTCCTCCTAGCTTACATTGTTGCTACGGATGGACAGAGGATTGGCGTTGGCTAATATGCATCTGGACAGATTCAAGGGGGGAGTTACTTGATAGCCACATATTCCCTTTTGGTGGAATTAGCAGTAGACAGGACACAAAGGGACTGGAATGTCTTTTTGTGCAAGTTCTGCAGCAAGGCTGTCAAATACTGCAGGCTTGCTCTTCGGATACCGGTGTTGCCAAGCCGAGGGACTTTGTGATTGCACGCATTGGAAGTTTCTACGAACTTGAATACCAAGGTATGCAGAGTTCATCCCTATCATTTTAGCTTTCAAGGTTCTTATGCTTTTCTGTTTAAAGTTCAAGCAGTGTTTAGGTTCTGTTAGGAAGCTGCAACTACTTGAGTGGAAATTGTGTTGTGCAATTTCTTTGATGAATTGTAATGGAAGATGAATTATATGTAAAGTGAAGATTGTATCATGAGATATATTCCTTTTCTCTGTCGGTAAATACATTGCTGCAATCACCTTTTGTTTTTGGAGGGGGGTTGGGTAGGATGGGGTGGGGAAATCAATTTGAATATTGTTTGTACAGCCTATTTGTTGAAACCATTTTATTCTCTTTTCTCAAATTGGCATTGGTGTTCATGTTTCATATTTTCCCATCTGATTGTGAACAGAGTGGCAGAAAGCAATTAATTCAGTTGGGGGTTCAGAAGTGAAAAAATGGCACTTGCAACTGCGGCGATCTGTGTCTGATGGAGTGTCTGCTAGTAGTAACGGGCCTTCCTTGCAGCAGCAGGAGATGAGTTTGATTCAAGAAAGAACCCTACCTTCTTCACCTGGTCCTCTGTATGGCAGCTCTCACTCAAAAATTTCTGGATTTATGAAAGGTGGTTTAGGACAACCTTCTGTGAGAAAGCAGCTTATGGGCACACAGTTGATTGACAGCTCAAGGAGCTTGCTTCAGTGGGTGCAAAGTATCAGCTTCATTACAATTGCAATTGATCATTCTTTACATCTTGTTTTTCAAGCAGATACACAATCACCAGGTGAGTTATTTCCTCTCTACTTGGTATGCATAGAAAATTGTCTATTATGAAAATACTGAGCCACTGCAAACATCTGACTGCATAATCTGCCAAGAGGATCAGAGAAGTTATTTTGAAGTTGTCAGATCATAATATTGATTCCACTCTGTGCAGGAGCTCAAGGTGGTGTTGGTGCGGGCTCATCAGGGTATCTGGAAGGCTTCACACCTGTGAAGTCTCTTGGTTCCACACCTGCTGCTTACATTCTGATCCCATCACCCAGCATGCGTTTCCTCCCTCCAACACCACTTCAGCTGCCCACATGCCTCACTGCTGAATCACCTCCACTAGCCCATCTCCTTCACAGCAAAGGTTCTGCTATTCCCCTTTCTACTTGTTTTGTGGTCTCAAAAGCCGTACCTACTATGAGGAGAGATTATAGGAGCAACTTGAAAGAAGAATGGCCTTCAACTCTTTTGGTCAGTCTTATTGATCATTATGGAGGTAATAACTTTAGCCAAGAAAAACTCATGAGAGGTAATACCAAACAAGTGGGAAGGAGTCCAAGCTCGGAAGCTAGAGAATTGGAATTTGAGACGCATGTAATTCTCGAATCCCTGGCGGCAGAGCTTCATGCACTCTCTTGGATGACTGTGAGTCCAGCATACCTGGAGAGGCGAACTGCACTGCCTTTTCACTGTGACATGGTTTTGAGATTAAGAAGGCTTTTGCATTTTGCTGATAAGGACCTCTCTAGGCATCAAGAGAAGGCTTAGTGCGGGTGAAAAAACAAGACGGCGGTTAATCACTTGGTCATTTATTGGTAAATATATTGTTGAATGAGAACTCTAGGTGGCCGTGATACAGTTTAGCGCCTCTATATACAATTTTTGCAAAATAGAATTGTAGATGTAATGTTAGCCCGCTAATTTTGCCATATTTTTTCAAATGGATGTAAACATAAATAGGCTGTCCGGGTAGAAATAGTTAGATCTAACAGGTGTAGATTTTAAAGATGTATATGAACTGTTGAAGGATAAATTTGATGTGCAGATTTCTGTACTTGGAGAGGTTATCATCCCATTTTAGGAATTCAGTTAAATCCTCATTTATATTCTAATTCCGTATGAATAATGTGTAAGGGATCATGGTATGATTTCAGTTTCATTTTTGTATTTTTTCAACCAAAATTTCGTCTATTAAGATTTGAGCCCAACACGTCCAACAAAATATTAACTAGGCCACAACAAGGCCAGTTATGTAAACGGGCAGTAAAAAGTAGGGCCGATTTGTGAAAGCTAGGCCTGTCTCTGTACTAATCTTAGAGATTAAATTTTTATGCACGATGTTTACTAGTCTGTAACTGTAACTGAAGAAGACACCTTAGAAAGAGAATGTTAACCCGACTTACTTAAAAGAGTCAATAAATAAACTTACTACCACCTCACCTCATGCCATGTATTAAATTAAATTAATTAATGGGACCACATTTAACATTAATTCTTGAATAAAATCATATCATGGTAGCATAGCACTTGTCCTTTAGAAGATACAAATACAATACAAAGTAGATTCTAGAAGGTGAATAATCATGTTCTTGTGTGACGCATGCATGCGGATGTGCGGATGTGCGGATGTGCTGCGGATGCGGTGGTTGAATTTAGATCGAAGTGATTATGGCAATATTAACTAGTAGTGAGTGGGCAGAGCACTGGGAAACTTAAACTGGTAAACTGACAACCACAGACATGTAACTTCTCCACTTTGCCTTCCTTTGGAAAAGTGTGTCAATTATGGCCCGCCCTACCATTCTTTCCTTCTTCTTTCTTTCTTTCTTTCTTACACCAACTCAACCTCAACAAGCATGCGATTGATCATTTGCTTCTCTGAATTTTGTATGAGAAGATAAGACGTTACTTTTTTTTTTTTTTCGTGCCATGTGATGTCAACTTGATAAAAAGAGAGGAACAAATATTTTTTGTTCCGTTCCGACTTCCATGTGAACGGATTGAATACGAGAGAGAGAGAGAGAGAGAGAACCAGAACCAACCAATGCCCTTCATCATTACATTACATTACAAGGGAATTAGAATCTGCCAAGCTGACTAGCTACAGCTCATCATGATTCATCACCATTCACCACCACAAACAATTGCCAACAATTTTTTCCTCTTTCTATATAATCCTTTTCTATTTTCTTATGGTGAAACTGAAAAACCATTCAGAAATATTACAGACACAAAAAATATATATATATATATATAGAAGAATAATGGAATTTATTACTACCAACCCAATGAATCACAGATACAATGATAGAGAAAATCTATCCACATTCACATTCACTTTCTTCTTCATGATCTCCTCCTTATTATTAGCCTAAATTTAACATCCCATAGGCATATTCCCCCATTAAAAACAAAATTAGACAAAATTAACATTAATTATACATCATACATGATATGATACAAAACCACCAACAAACACATCAATCACAACATCAACAATAAATAATTAAATTTAAACCTGAAATTCCCAAATAATACAAAAGGAAATCCCCTCCCTCTCATTAAACACTCAATACAAGTGATTAAAGAGAAAGATTAGGAGAAATGAGCAAGCAACCATGAAATGAACCTAAAATGCAGTCATGAGCTCAGAAGAAGAACCCAAAAGCCAAAGCTGCTAGAGATGCAAAGAAAGTGGGGACAAAGGCATAGGCATCAGAAGTTGGGCTTGGTGCTGGAGAATCAGCTGCAGCTACTTTTTGAACGCCAGACAAGGCCACCATCACAACAACCAACAAAGCCACAAAAACATTCATCTTCATTGCCTCCATTTCTAGCTGCTTCACTTAAACTCAGACTTGAGAAGAGCAAAAAAGATTGAAAGAAAGAAGCTCTGGCTCTGCACTTGCTATTTAGTTTGAGAGAGGCAGAGTTCTGTAAGGACAATAGTTGTGGGTGGTAGGGGTATATATACACACTCAAAGAGAGGAGAGAGAGAGAGAGAGAGATTCAAAGGTGTTTTTGCAGATTTTAATTTTCAATTTTCAAAGGAGGCTCTGAACTGCCCCAAACCCCAAAGTGAACGTTGTGGGGGTTGATGAGACGAAGTTGACACTTGACAGGGTGTCTTTGGCATTTTTCCCTACAGCTGTCTGGGTCCCCACCCACCTTTGCTGTCTTCTTTAGAATCTTTAACTAGTGTTCTTGGCATTTTTGTATATAAAATTTGCACTTTCTTTTTACTAGTTTATTCATTAAGTTCATGTTGATGCCTCATGTGCTCATGATGAGTGAATGTTTTGCTTTCTTGTTGGTTGGTTTTATTTTGAATTTGGTAGGAATGAGAGGTGATGAGCTGTTTGTGCTTCTTTAACAATAGCTCAGTGGGATTGTTATAATAATTATTTGAGCTTCTATTATTATTATTACATGTATTTTCTCTCTTTTAGTTGCAGGAGAGAAGGCCGGTCGATCAACAAGCATGACTAATGCTCCTTGTTATTATTAATAAGAGTAATGTGGATGCTTTTGATATAGAACTAGGAAAGACATAACATATAAAGCAACCTCATTCCCCATCTCTATTCATGCAATCCCTTAACATTTTAATGGGCTGGAGGAGCAGGAGGAGCTGGAGGAGCTGGAGGAGCTGGGGGTGTGGAAGTCAAGTCAAGTGATACAAGAGGTAAAATTTAAGCTTAAAATCCAAATGAAAGGGAAATTGGAACTGCTTGTGGTCCTGCAATATCAGTGGGCAACCATAGCCTATAGCTGGTTCAGAATTTAGATGGGTCACCTAATTTGTACCGGCTGAGTTGGTGTGTTGTCTATTTCAGCTTCATTCCATTCTTTTTTCTTCTTTTTTTTTGTCTGAATCATGAGGTGGTTCTGGATGGGCCCCAACTATAGGTGGCACCTTTAAGCCTTAACTACAACCCAGACTAATCCCCACTCACACCGGGTCGGCCCATAAGGGGTAAAGTGTTGGCCAAAGTGGTGACTCCGTACGAGAGCAGGGATCGAACCCCTGACCTCTCTTAAGGAATGAGAGTGCCGAACCACTCACACCAACCACCTTGGTTCATTCTTTTCTTTTTTGAATGTGTAAATGTTACCAAAGTCTAAGTCCAGCTGGACATATTTGAATCAAATAAGCTTTATTAATTATACGGTTGAGTATTGGAATGGAATTCTGATGATCATATATATATATATTATTTGCATAATGGGATCATATATGTAATTAAGAGTACTGTGTGCTAGGTGGCTTCAACTCCAACTCCTAGCATATGAAAGAGTTCAAAACACTTGTAGACTTTTTGTACCATGAAAACGAACATGGAACTAATGGGATTGATTATTTGGGTGGGACCGTGGGACAAACAAACCAACCATTTCCATTTTACCATTTTACCATTTAGCTTTTAGAGAGAGAGATAGAGTTTTTCTTCGGTTGTTAACTCGCACTTTGGTTGGTCACATTGAGATTAATTTGCACTTTACATTGTATGTGTAGCAGCTAATTCCTTTTGCTTTGGCTTGCAAGGTAATTAATTTATTAAATAACACGAGATTCTTGTTAAGATTTAAAGAGATTGACAATATTATTTCCACCTTAATCATATGTAAAGCTCAATATGTATGAAATTTTATCACAAAAAACATTGATGTTATTAGTTTTTGAACCACTCGTTGTTGGGGGTGTGCAATGTGGACGATTGCACATATTATAATTTTGTTCAACATATATATATGGATGATCTAAGAATGTAGACTTAAAAATAGATGGTTTGGATCGTTGAAAAAAAATTCGTAGGAAATCCTAAAGGGTGTCCTTTATTTAAGAGATCCCTCAATAAAAGATGACTATACATATTTATTTGAAGAATCCCCCAATAAAAGAGGATTGTATTATTATATATACATTTATTTGTGTAGTAGTGTGGGCATTTGGGACGAAATTAATTGTCGAACAAGCCTTTTTCTAGAATCAATATTATTGGGCTGGGGGCTTCTTCATGTTCATATTCATATTGGGTTGGGCTGATTTAAGTGTAACAGCTTCTTGCTTTGTGTTGTTGTTCAAGTTCAACTCTTCTGTACTTTGTACTTCCATCCTCTTCTTTCACTTCAACTACTTACTCATCCACTTACCAGTTACGGTTCCTTCAATTTTCTCCGTTCAGACAAGCGACAGGATTAATATAGTATAGTGTGATGGCCTTGCCTTCTTCATTTTATTTTTATTTTTTTCATACAAGTAATAATCTAAATTATTCTAAATTAATCTATTTTACCGAGGGGGGCTCGAATTTAGGTGTAAGAGGAGTGAAACTATCCTGGTCAACAGGTCTAACCTACATCTATTGTCTTGCTTTCTTTTAAACACTCTAAACCCAATAAAGACTGCCTATATACAGTGGGAGAGGTAGGATCTAACTCGGATAAGATATAGGCATTGTAATTTGCTTTACAAGCCTATAACTCAATATCAATGTGCCCTATTATATAGTAGTGAGTGCATAGAGCTAATGATACACAACTCTACGTCCACAAGATGAAGCAACAAGGCCAAGCAGAAAATTTGTCTTGTAATGGAGATACCACTGTTTTATTATTGTTGGTCAATAATGCAATAATATATAAAAAAGTTATTCAGCATGTCATTGCACTATTAGTCGGGAATAGCAGAAACTGTTATTCCTGTTCATGAAAGAGTCTCTCAAGGCCAAGAGCTTCAGCCCCCTACCTATCCTATTTATTATTTTGTTAGCATAATAAAATAAAGGATCATAGGGTAAAATACAATAAAATAAAAAAGCTCAGACACTTGGAAGGAAACCCATCTGACCCTCCATTTGCTATCCGACGGTTAGGATCGTTTTATAGATGTATAGGTAAGTGTATAACAACTAATGGAGAAAAGAGACTATACTATACTCTGGAGTGATTGGAGGGGCAACAAAAACAAATCAAAATAAAGTAGGGTGAAACCAAAAGAAACAGAGGCTCCTCTGAGACTGAGAGAGAGAGAGAGAGAGAGAGAGAGAGA